TCCATCAATGTATCTGTCTCTCTCTAATGTATTTTATCCCTCCCTCCTTCCTTCCCTCTCTCCCTGTCTGTCTGTCTGTCTATCTATCTATCTATCTATCTATCTATCTATCTATCTATCCATCCATCCATCCATCCATCCATCCATCCATCCATCCATCTATCTATTTATCTCCATCCATCTAACAATCCATCAATCCATCAATCTATCCATCTATCCCCTATCTATCCCTCCATCCCTCCATCCCTCCATCCATCTATCTATCTATCTATCTATCTATCTATCTATCTATCTATCTATCTATCTATCTATCTATCTCCATCCATCTAACAATCCATCAATCTATTCATCTATCCCTCTATCCATCTATCTATCCATCTATCCATCCACCCTAGTTCTAGGTTGCTTCTCTCCTTGATTAGCTTACATATATTATTTCTTGTCCTGCCTTCTCAGGTGCTTTGGACAATAATTTGACCCCCTCTTCTTTGTGTATACTCAAATATTTTTTGTTACCTAATTGGGTAATGAAATGTCTGCAAGAAAACCACCAAGTTCAGAGAGCATCAAAAGCCCCACAATGTTGGGACTACCAGTGGCTAGCTGTCGGTGGTCCAGCTAAAAGATGGTTTCTAGCTAATCTTGTTTACTTTTTTAAAAAAGTTAGCGGTTGGATAGGAGACCACCAGAAAATCCCAGAGTATTGGCTAGCTGGGGAAGAAGTTTAAAAATATGGCCATTCATTAACATCACCTTGTCCAGAAACCTCTAACATGATCATGAGTGGTCAGGAGCTGAGCTCAATGGAAAAGTGATTTTAAAGTTGACTTATGATTTTGACACTTGTCTTTATGCCACTAAATTTAGAGATATGCTAAAATGGAAGTGCCTGCTTTGCCACCAAGATAACTTCCCCCAAAATATTAGGCCAGCTGATCCATCTTTTCAATTTCTTACATTTGTCAATATCATACCTTTCCCTTGAGATAGGACAGGAAATATTACAATCAACAGCTCCGCTTTTTTATGAATTCGTTATTCATGGCTTTCCTCCAACAGTAGGGGAGTTTCCAGAATTATACACTAAAGAAAGGTTGGTTAAAAAAAAAGTAAAATTTGAGCCATTGCTAGCTAAAGTCACAGGGTCCATTAAATGATATTAACTCAGCTTTTTTCATGTTTCCTAGAGATATGAGGCTGTTGCTGGAAAAATAAACATGGGAAACAACCTCACACTGATTTTTTCCCTCCTTCCATCCTTTCTGTTCTATAGCTTTTAACCCCCCCCCCCTTTTAAACTCATTTCCATCTCAATTATTTGGTTGCTGTCGGTCTGCAAATATTGCGTAAGCTTGCCCTCTTGCCCACTGGCGCCTTCAGCAAAAACACTGTCCCCTGCTTGCTTGTCACATTTCTTTAAATGTGGGGCCCTTCAACCCTTCTGCCCCACTGCTGCCTGTTTGCAGAAACCAAAAGAAATCAGCATTCCCCGCTCCCGCCCCTCCGGTTGCTCAGTAGGTCGGCTTCGTTCAGCTCGTGCATCATGGCTAAGAGTCTTTTGATATTGTTTTTCACACTGTTGCTTCTGAACATTTGCTGGCCATCCGAAACACACAAGGTAAGTTTGGCCTCTAGACAGATAAAGATTTGGGGGGCAGGAGAGAAGGGCGTTGTGCTTTAATCCACAAAGTGTCCAGCTCTGCAATGAAAATGTGCAACCTGCCAAGTGACATAAGTGTGGTTTTCTTTAATTTCTTCACAGCCCACATTAATGCTTCCATATCCAGTCTTGAATCCAACCTCTGCAAACTTTCAAGTATATCTCTTTTCATCTCTTCTCTCTCTCTCTCTCTCTCTCTCTCTCTCTCTCTCTCTCGTTGGATGTGTGGACCCCTGACTTCTTTGAACTGTGGTCTTTTGATCTGAGAGTTTTTTGATCTTGATATGTGAGGGTTGGACTTTCTTCTCCCCTTTCTCCTTGTAGACTTTTCTGAATAGTTTGAAAGCCCATGACGTTTACTTTTATTTCGGGACAAATTCAAGCCTCAGAGGTAAGAAGATGCCATGTCTGTGGCACCGATTTTAATTATTATTGCCCTGATTTTAACTAGGCTTGAGATGCCACGAGGCAAGTGTATGGATCTAGCCCAGTTGTGTTCCATATTTAGATTGGAATTGGAATAGAATACAGAATAGAATAGAAAATAGAACAGAATAGAAAGGATTAGAAAATAGAAATTAGAATAGAAAAGAAATAGAGAATTGAATAGAA